CAACCAACCATGAGAAGAGTTTACATTACTCTTTGAAATCAGTGAGGCAAAAACAGATTACCAAAAGCTGGAGAAAGGGTACAGGGTTGATTCTTTCCTTGGGGCTGAATACTAATTTGAGGGAATGTCTTTGTTTCTTTGCATAGAATAGATGCTGCAATATAAACCCCTAGGTAGTTCCAGCCAACTTGGCCTGCTGCCTGGCCCTTCATCTGTTTGTGTCTGCAATTGCAGAGGGAGTGAAGGGAGAATTTCTGGAAGAGACTTAGGTTTAACCCAACTGCCTGGATGGGTCAGCAATGACCTCAGCTCCAGGGAGCAATCCTAGCAAGAAGACATGGCTCTAACCTGCATGTACCTGAGGTATAGTATGGTGTCAGGGGATACTATGAAATTTCTAAGTGGAGAATACTGTCCTCTATAAAGTTAACTCAGATATGACTTGAGGAATAAAAGAGAGCATTAACCTTGGATGTACATATGGCCCAAGCTCCTCCTTCACATCTTTGGTGTCCAGGATAGCTGGTAGAAGAAGTATTTAAATAACTGATCAAGTAATCATTAGATCCTAAAATCCAGCAAGTGTTGAGCTGAGTGCTTCACGTTAATCACCTCAAAAAAAATCTGTAAGATGCATACTAAAATATTCCTATTTTACAGAAAGAAAAGGTTGGAATTAATCATTGATTTGCTCAAAGACATACAACTTGTTCACGGTAGAACTGATACTAAACTCAGTTCTGTGTTCAAAGCCTTTGCTCCTGGCCCTCACTGGGTGACTCAGTTGGAGCATCATCCTGATACATCAAGGTGTGGGCTCAATCCCCGGTCAGGGTACATACAAGAAGCAACCAATGAATGCATAAATAAGTGGAACAACAAATTGATGTCTCCCTCTCTCTGTGTCATTCATTCTCTCTCTCTCTCTCTCTCTCTCTCTCTCTCTCTCTCTCTCTCTCTCTCTCTTCCTCTCTCTCTCTCCCAGTCTCTCTCTTAAATCAATCAATCGAGAAAAATTTTTTGAAAACCTTTGCTCCTGACAATGACACCACACTCAATGAATATGTCAAGGAGTTTGGAAGGAGAGTAGCAAGATGGTATAAAATATCATATGGATGGTTAAAGTTGTTTCCAAAATTATTAATCTACTAGAGTGATTTAATTATTAAATCACTCTACAAGAGTGATTTTAATTAGCCAGGACTCTTGGTTGAAAGTGAGAAACCCCAATTCAAATTAGCTTAAGCCAGAAAAATGTAATTTATTGGCTTAACCTAAAAGTGCAAGAGTTGGTAGTTTTCAGCATAGAACCAAGCTCATCTAATTTTTTTTTAATGTTAGTTTTAATTTTGTAGGCTGGCTATGCCAACCTATGGAGAAGATGAGAATACTGACTTACAGTCTTTGTTGTTCATGACCTCAAATTACTAAATAATCTCTGCTCTTGATTATCCTTAACAATTCTTGAAAAACACTGGCTCTGCTTGGATCACATGCTCATCCTTGGACCAGACATTGTGTTTGAGGGGGAATGCAAGACTCTTATTGGCCAGCCTGAGTCATAAGCTCTCTCCTGGCACAGGCAAGTGCATGTGCTGACAGCCCCAACTGTTAAGAAACAGTTCCCAAAAGGGAAGGAGGATGGGCAGACAAAGAAAGGTAAGACAATAAAAATGGGTACAAAAATTACTAACTAAATAAAACAGGCAGTCTCTAGTTGTGGATAACTAAATGGATGTGAGTGAGACAAGCATATGAGAACATATTACTTGCTACCTCATTAAGCAAGAGATAATGTGTTAAAAATAGCTGCCTTGAGCAGCACACACTGAACACAGATAAAAAAAATTATTTCCCTAATGATAACTCCCTGAAGCATTTTTTGAGTGTGTTGTAGCAAGGAAATCAGGAATGTCCATAGACATTAACTGACTCATTACTCTGAAAACAAAAATCAGTTTAGGATTAGGGGTCAATGAAGGGGGGAGGGGGGCAAATGTAATACTTTCAACAATAAAGATATATTTTTAAAATATATTTTATTGATTTTTTTACAGAGAGGAAGGGAGAGAGATAGAGTTAGAAACATTGATGAGAGAGAAACATCGATCAGCTGCCTCCTGCATAACCGCTACTAGGGATGTGCCCGCAACCAAGGTACATGCCCCTGACCCAAATTGAACCTGAGACCCTTCAGTCCACAGGCCAAAGCTCTATCCACTGAGCCAAACTGGTTAGGGCAATAAAGAGGAGAGGAGGGGAGGGGAGGGGAGGGGAGGGGAGGGGAGGGGAGGGGAGGGGAGGGGAGGGGAGGGGAGGGGAGAGGAGAGGAGAGGAGAGGAGAGGAGAGGAGAGGAGAGGAGAGGAGAGGAGAGGAGAGGAGAGGAGAGGAGAGGAGAGGAGAGGAGAGGAGAGGAGAGGAGAGGAGAGGAGAGGAGAGAGACTATATGAAGGAGAGAATGAGAATGCCTTCTATCTCTCTCCAGAGGAATAGCCTCTGGATTTCAGAGAGGGATTCCTCTCTGAAATCAATAAAAATATATATTTAAAAAAAAGAGAGAGAGAAAGAATGCCTTTGATCAGCTGCCTCCTGCACATGCCCACGGAGACTGAGCCAACAACCTGGGCATGTGCCCTGGACCAGAATCAAACCCGGGACCCTTCAGTCCACAGGCTAATGCTCTATCCACTGAGCCAAAGAAGTGAGGGCAGTAATCTTTAGTTTCGAAAGTCTCCTGTCAGAATAGCATCCGTTGCCTACTTCTGGATTCTCAACATCCCTCCAGAGCTGCTTTTCCAGAAGACCATCTCAGCTTTTGCCCTTTGGATTCTTCTCTCCAGTCTCCTTCTGACTGAATAGCTCTCAAGGGGTCTCAACTAAGAACTTGAGGTTAGTATTGTAGATTAACTAGCCCAGGGAGTCCTTTCCTTTCTCCATGGTTTTCCTGTACTACAGAACTCTTGTGTCTTATAGGTCATTGCTTTCCTGCCTCTTGCACACCCCCTACTAGGAATTGAGCCTGCAACCCTGGCATGTGCCCTGACCTGGAATTGAACCAGACCTCCTGGTTCATAGGTCAACATTCAACCACTGAGCCATGCTGGCTGGGCAAGATGTATAGCTTTAAATGAGTGTTAGAGTCCAACAGACTGGCTGTTTTGGTTGTTATTATTGCACAATGAATTGCCCCAATACTAACATAGCAACAAGGTAGTTCCTTGGAGTCTCTAATGCATTTTCAGTCAGACATGGGGTTGCAGGCATCTGAAGGCTGTTCTGGAAACATGGCTAACAGTTGATGCTGGCTGATGACCAGAGTGACTATATATGACCTGTCTAGCACAGAGGTCTCAGAATGGTCAGATTTCTTACATGCAAGCATCGCAAAAGAGTCAAGTGGAAGTGCATCACCCTTTCTGAACTAGCATCAGGAGACACGCAATGTCACCTCCACTGGGTTTTACTGGTTCATGTGAGTTACTAAGGCCAGCCCAGTTTCAAAGGAAGGGGGACATAGACTCTCAATGGGAGAAAATGTAAAAGAATGTGTGGACATGTTTAAATATACTGCACTAGCTCTACCACCTAGTGTTTGAATAGCTGGGGAAAATTATTCATTTGAGTTTTTCTATCTATAAAATAGGATCCTTGAAAAGATTAAATAAGATAATGTATGCAAACACTTAGCTCATAATAAGTTATCAAGTGTTCTTTTATTAGAGAGGGAAAATATTTGGGCAAAATCCTTATAGCCAAGAAAATGATATCCGATAATTACATTACCTTGAAAATTACCAGTATTTTCTTATATTTTTCTATGAAAACTTCTGTGGGACACCAGTTTCCCATAGGAGCATGATTTTAAAAGAACTACATTCTAAAAATATTTTTTTACATACATTCATTCCAAGTTCCAATCAACTGACCCAAATGTGCACTTTTGGAACCAAGCCCATTTGTAACTGCAAAGTAGTCTCCATATATGTGTGCATGTATATGCACTATGCTAATATATACAATCTTGCTATTCTGTCAGACATAACGGGGGAAAAAAGTTTGCCAGGAAAAGTCTGTTAATCGTTGATGATGAGTTTGCATTATACCAAAAAATACTAGAAGAGAGATTAATGGTTGATCTTCATTTAACACAAAAGCAAGAACTTTAAAGACTATCAGAGTCTTTGCTAAAATGTCACATTGATTCAATAGCTAAAAATACAAATAATAAAGAACAGAAAAATCACAGGTGAAGACAGTCATCCTTGCAATCAATCTTTCATAAATTCTGTGGGTAATTGATTTCATATAATACTGTCCAGTGTTGTAATTCCCTCCCTATTCTTCCTCTTTCTCCAACCCAGAAATATTTGAAATTCAATAGCACTCTTGTCACAGAATTATATTGAAAGATTGAATTAACAGAAAATTCTGCATAGCAAGCTATTAATACAAAGAGATTATTTGCCAAGAGATCCCAGGGATTCCTGAGCAACCTCTATCTATAGAGCCCATTCACTTCAGTCACAATTTCTGACACATTATTTGTCTTCCTGGCCACTTTTTAAAAATATATATATTTTTATTGATTTCAGAGAGTAAGGGAGAGAGAGAGAGAGAGAGAGAGAGAGAGAGAGAGAGAGAGAGGAGAGAGAGAGAGAGAGAGAGAGAGAGAGAGAGAGAGAGAGAGAGAGAGGGAGAGAGAGAGAGAGAGAGAGATAAACATCAATGATGAGTAAAACCATTGTTTGGCTGCCTCCTGCACATCCCCCACTGGGGACCCAGCCCAAAACCTAGGCATATGCCCTTGACTGGAATCGAGCCTGGGACCCTTCAGTCCGCTTCATCCACTGAACCAAACCATCTAGGGCTTCCTGGACACTTTTATATTTAACTTCCCAGGGCTTTCTGGAACTCTTCAGGTAATGAATCTTGAAAGTGACCAAGAATTTCCTCTTATCTCCATTTTTATGGCTGTTATCTTTCACTTATCACCTTCTAGGAAGCAGTGGAAGAAGAGAAACAGTTTGCTGTTGAACCCGAAGAGATATGAGAACTCTCTCTGCTGTTGGTAAGGGGAGGAGAACTTAGACTCCTTGATCCATTTTGTCTTAGATGCATTTTGTTTTTCTCTGTGAAACTTTCTTATTTCGGGCAGAACAATGTCCCCTCCCCTCTGGTTCTTCTAATGGACTACTACCTTTCTCATTTTTCCAGTGCTTCCTTACAGTGCATATCTGGATGACAGTCTCATTTTGGGAGATGTCCTGAAAATGTGCAAATGGGAGGGGAATAACAATGAGCTGACATCAGTGAAGAAAGAAAGTAATACAATCCAGTCAATGTTGAATATTAATAAAGCATAAATGAATGGACCAAAATCAAACTCTATTCTCAGCTTTCCTGGAAAGATATCTGTCTTTGCTGTCTTGTCCAAATACCCATTTTCAAATATTGTCTTTTTTTCCTGTTCAGTCATACTATTTTGATTCACTGGCCTAATATTCCTTTTTGTTGACTGTGAAGCCATTGAATGATTTGGGGGAGGGAAGAGAGGCAAAACTCTCATCCTTCCTGTCCTCCTTTCTAACAAATATTTCTTTCAATAGTATATTTGCTTCATTAGATTTAGTTTTATTATTTGAGAGTATCCTTATGGATATATATATATGTATATCCATTGATGCTGGGGTCCAACCCCAGCGGGTCCAGGGGTCCCCAAAGGTGTGGACGGAGTTGGCGAAGAAGGAAGGACACGGAGACAGTGTTCAGTTGATCAGCAGCCTAGCCAGGATCTCCAGCCAAGTTCTGGTCTGGATCTCCAGAGAGGTTCTGCTTAGGATCTCCTGCCAGGGTCTGTGTTCATGTTCTCTTGCTAGGTTCTCCAGCCAGGTTCTGTAGCCATGTTCCCTCGCTAGGTTCTCCAGCCAGGTTCTGTCCAGGTTCTCCAGCCAGGTTCAGTCACCAGGTTCTAGTCAGGTTCTCTTGCCATGTTCTATCCAGGTTCTGTAGCCAGGTTCTGTCTCTAGGTTCTTCAGCCAGGTTCCCTCGCTAGGTTCTGTCTCTAGGTTCTGTTGCCAGTTTCTGTCCAGGATCTTTTGCCATGTTCTCTCCAGCGAAGTTCTTCTGTCTCTAGGTTCTGTGTAGGTTCTGTCTTCTAAGTTCTGTCTTTTAAGTTCTGTGTCCTAAGTTCTGTGTTCTAAGTTCTGTGTTCTAAGTTCTGTGTCTTGCTGTCTTGTTACATCTGTATTCATACCAGTTGATTCAATCCTATCAATCTCTATTACAAAGGTTAGGGCGTTTCTTATCTCCATTCCAGGGAGTAAAGATTATGTAGCTTAAGCATGATTGTTCATAGTTAAAGTGATTAATTACCCGCCTGGCACTTAGTTGAGGGGTTTTATTCCCTCCCTAACTTCAGGGGAAAATCCCTACCTGGGGAAACAACCTTTCTCAGAGAGGAGACCTTGGTTAAAACACAAAGTGACAAGGTGAGCAAACATATTAAGAACAGTATGCCATATATGCCAGGTCCTTTGAAACAGCAAGGATGGACCGGCTCCCAGCACATTGATGCATGAAATTCATGCAAAAGTAGGCCTACCTTCCCCCAGCTGCCAGCACCGGCTTCCCTCTGGCACCTGGGACCCAGGCTTCCCTTGCAGCCCCTGCTTCTTCCGGAAGGTCATCTGGAAGAACGTCTGATCTAATTAGCATATTACACTTTTATTACTATAGATATATATATGGATTAAATAATTTGGGATTATTTTAGTAAGAAAGTATGTTAATCATTGGTTTCTCTGATAAAACCAAAAATACCTACTATTGGGGAAGTTGTTAGATAATGGGATCGGAAGAACTGAGACAGTGAATAGCACTACAGGATGGGGTTGGTAGGTCAATAGTGTTCTGGAGATCATGAACACTAGTGACTTTAGAAAGTCTTGTACCCAATTTAGAATACTGCAAAAGAATATCAGAGCAGGAATAGATCTTAGAAATCATAGAGGAAAGCATTGATATGTGCCTTTCAGCTAGCTAATATCTCCACTTTATTTACTTAGTTGTTTATTACTTTTAATTGTGATAAAAAGCATATAACACACGACTTATCATCTTAACCATTTTCAACTCTAAAGTTTAGTAGTGCTATGTTCACATTGTTGTGCAACAGAGCTCCAGAAGTTTCTCATCCTGCAAAACCGAAACTCTGTATTCATTAAACAACAACTGATTGCCCCCTCTGCCTGAGTCCCTGGAATCACCATTCTACTTGGTGTTTCTGTGATTTTCATTACTGTACATTCTTCATATAAGTCATTGGTTCTCAACCTTCCTAATGCCGTGACCCTTTAATACAGTTCCTCATGTTATGGTGACCCCCAACCATAAAATAATTTTTGTTGCTACTTCATAACTGTAATTTTGCTACTGTTATGAATCATAATGTAAATATCTGATATGCAGGATGCATTTTCATTGTTACAAATTGAACATAATTAAAGCATAGTGATTAATCACAAAAACAATATGAAATTATATATGTGTTTTCCGATGATCTTAGGTGACCCCTGTGAAAGGGTCGTTCGACCCCCAAAGGGGTCGCGACCCACAGGTTGAGAACCCCTGATATAAGTGGAATCATAGAGTATTTGTCCTTTTGTGACTGGCTTATTTTACTTAGCATAATGTCTGTAAGATTTATCCATGCTGTAACATGTGTAAGAGTTCTTTCCTTTTTAAGGATGAATAATAATCTATTGTATGTATAGATTACAGTTTGTTTACCCACTCACCTGTTGATGGACATTTGGGTTGTTTTCACCTCTTGGCTATTGTGAATGGTGCAAACATCTTTTTGAGACCCTACTTTCAATTCTTTTGGATATCTACCCAGAAGTGGGATTGCTGGATCAAATGGCAGTTCTATTTTTACTCTTTGGAGGAAGTGCCATTTTGTTTTCCATAGCAGCTGCAACATTTTACAATCCTTTCCCCCACATTCTCACCTACACTTGTTATTTCTTGTCTTTTTTTATTATAGGCATTCTAATAGGTCTGAGGTGATATCTCATTGTGATTTTGGTTTGCGTTTTTCTAATGATTTGTGATACTGAATACCTTTTGATATGGTTATTGATCATATGTCTATCATCCTTGCAGAAATGTTTATTCAAGTCCTTTGCCTACTTTTAATTGGGGTCATTTGTTATCTTTTGTTGTTATTGAGTTGCAGGAGTTCTTTATAAATTCTGGATATTAACCGCTGTCAGATAATATGATTTGGATATATTTTCTCCTGCTATATAGTTTGCTTTTCATTCTGTTTGATGCACAGAGTTTTAAAGTTTAACCTAGTCTCATTTGTCTATATTTGTTATTGCTGCATGTGCTTTTGTTATCACATCCAGTAAGTTACTGCCAAATTCATTGTCATGAAGCTTTTCCCTATATTATCTTCTAGGAGTTCCATAATTTGAGGTCTTATATTTAGGTCTGTAATTTGTTTTGAGTTAATTTTTGTGCATGGTATAAGATAAGAGTCCAGCTTCATTCTTTTGCATGTAGGTATCCAGTTTTCTCAGTACCATTTGTTGAAGAGACTATCTTTTCCCCATTGAGTGTTCTTGATACTTTTGTTGAAGATCATTTGACTATATATGTGAAGGTTACTTTCTGTGTTCCAATGTGCTTTTTAAACTATATTTTTATTGATTGGAGAGAAAAAGGAAGAGAGAGAGAGGGAGATAGAGAGAAAGAAACAGAGTTTCTGAGACAGAAACATACATGAGCTGCTTCCTGCCTGCTCCCCATGGGGGATGGAGCCCACAACCTGGACATGTGCCCTGATCAGAAATCAAATAGGCAACCTTTTTGGTGCATGGATGACACTAAGTATTTCACCATTTATTAACTGTGTGATATTAGACAACATACCTTTCTGTGCCTCATTTTCCTTATCTGTAAAACAAAAATAATGGTGGTATATCCCTCACAATGGAATTGTGAAGATTACATAAAATAAACTTTGTTAGAAAATTCCTGATACATAAGAAGTATCCAATAAATCTTAGCTATTCTTATTGCCTAAAAATGCCTCTTTCACACTTTTAGTAGGGCAAATCCAACGCAATTATAGCTCCCTAAGAATTTTCAGATCACAGCAACATTCTCAATTCTAGATGCCACCAACACTATTCATGCCTATTGTGCACTTTTCACTGATGTTCCAACATGGAGGTTTATTTTTCATTTTACTTTTGCCCCAAAAGCCAAGTGGTCTTCTACTCATCACACTTTCCCTGAAAGTGGGAAATGAAGAATGATCAATATTGGGGGAAACGTAAGAGAAGGTAAAAGTCTCTGGAGTTTCTCAAACTTGGTGTTCAGTATGTATTGGCCCATTTGGCTAAAATAGATTTGAAAAGCATCAGAGACTGCCTGGGACCCTTCAGTCTTGGGCCGGGAATCGAATCCTTGCAAGTCTCTAGTTCTGCCAATGACACTTTCCGATGGTCTATTGTGAAGGACTGAGGTGGAGAATGGAGGGGGTCCAGGAAAACTAAAGCTTTTTGGGACAGCTTAGTTTGCAATGGACAGGCAGCTATCACAAAAACGTACCTGGTTCTTAGAGAATGGCACTGCCCAATTCCTGATCAGACTGATAATGCTGCTTGCATAAGGGTAGAACAAACTTACGTTCAATTAAGATGAAGTTATTTACCTTACTAGCAACAGAATAAATCAGAACAACCAGGACAATTGCATAAATCTCAGCAAAGGTCAGTGTTAACATTTGACCCATCCAGTGTGATCTGGGGCAGCTGAGGTTAACCACATCTCTGTATTTTCAGTCTTTTTCAGATGAATTCTTCCTGTTAGAACCCATGTTCTCTCCATTATCTTTTGATCTCCTTCCCTTTCCACATTAAAAGACCTCTGAAAAACCCAAAATATAAATGTTGTTTATAAAAATTTTTCTTCTCCTAATATTAATGTAAATTATTCAGCTGTGCCCGAGATATCAGTGCCTAACTAACTTTAATATTAAAAAACTTAGCCATATTGCTGTTTTTAATTAAATTGATAGCTATCTTTAGTTCACATGATTTCATTCCAGAAAAGACAAAATGTCAGAAGTGGATATTAAACATTAGGAAAGCTTTTATTCTTAATATTCTTAGTATAGTATATATCAGTATGCAATTATCAAATATGGAAGGTTAATACTTCTTAAAGACATTGGAACATAATGATTGCATTATGAGAGAAAACTTCCATGGAAATTTTTAAAGGCAAAGACTCTAAATACATTTGGATATTATTTTGAAGTGGCAAAACTTCTAAAATTATTCTAGTTACTAGCAAAGTTCGATGT